CGGAAATACCCCGCAAAGAGGAATGGATTTGCAGAGTTGAGGATATCCAAGGGGCTGAAGCGTTGCAGGCATCCCTTCAAGACAGGGGAGGTAAACACGCAGAGCGATGGCTTCCATGGTTTGTCACAAAACACACGGGGTTAGGGACATTGGGAACGGCGACACATGCGGGGGCGCCGGGCTCTCCGGGGCAAGGCCAATGCACGCTCCCAAACACCATGATACTCCGACCACGCCCTTCACACGATGGGTGCATGCCCGTTACTCCTTCATTCCACCTCTCCTTTGTCCACATCTCTAAACAGGTACTGCTAGGTGCCTAGATAAATTGCTGGAACCTAACACACATGCGCCCAAGCAACACCAGAGGCCGTCCTCTGAGCATACATAAACAAGTGATAATGGGCTCACTGTAAGTCAAGAGGGTTGGTGATGATTTAAGGGGGACACTACATTCTATTCTACGTTATCTTAGTTTATTCTATATGAACGTCCCTTATCTTATTCTAGGTACCCCACCCCTCCTCCTTCTCCTCACCCCCACCCCTCCTCCTCTCTTGATTCCTCTCCTCCCTTGAACCTACGATACACACTATTAAGGAAGGTACGCTAACACCTTAACGTGCAAATACCATGCACGGTGATATATTGTAACCTTAACTATCCATGGACAAGTATGTGAAATGCTTTACACGTATTCTCTTATGAAGTTATAGGCGAATACCTAACGCTAAAAAGTCTGATGTCTATCTGCCTTTGAACTATGTTCTTCCCTCCTACTGAAAAACCTTAAATAAAGATTTTCAAAAAAGAGGATGAGCACTATATGGTCATTCAGTGGTTGGAAGATGAGCAGTAGTTGATCATTCAGGGGTGGAAATATGAGCAGTAGATGGTCATTCAGTAGTTTGAGGATGAGCAGTAAATGGTCGTTAAGTGGCTTGAAAGATGAGTATTTTCTGATCATTTAGAGGCTGGAAAATGAGCAGCAGATGATCATTCAGTGGTTGGAAGATGAGCAGTAGATGGTCATTCATTAGTTGGAGGATGAGCAGTAGATGGTCATTCCGTGGCTTAAATATGAGCAGTAGATGATCATTCAGGGGTTGGAAGACGAGCAGTAGATGGTCATTCAGTGGTTGGAAGATGAGCAGTAGATGATCATTCAGGGGTTGGAACATGGACATTTGATGATCATTTAGTAGGTGGAAGATGATCAGTAGATGGTCATTCAGTGGTTTGGAAGATGCACATTTGATGATCATTTATTGGTTGGAAGATGAGCAGTAGATGATCATTCAGTGCTTGGAAGATGAGCAGTAGATGGTCATTCAGGGGTTGGAAGATGAGCTGTAGATGGTTATTCAGTGGTTGGAGGATGAGCAGTAGATGATCATTCAGTGGTAGTATATTTTCTATCCAAAACCATGAAACTATGCAGACCAATGTAATGTTAAAGTATCATTCCATGCACAATAGCCACTACAGCTCACTGTACGTGTGATTCTAGTAGTACTCTTGGAAGCTCTGAGCTAGACAAACAACTCTTTTTATTTTTACTATGTAAAGTATCTAGCAATGCTCTACTGCTGCCTCTTCTCCACTGGGTGCTCTCTGTTTAAACTAAGCCTAGCAATGCAGGTCTTAGCTCATTGGCTGAGATGAATCAGTTGACTCCTTAATCCAATGAGCTGTCCTTGCAGGAGCTCCTGACTCTCACTTTTGGCTGAGAGGATGTAGGGAATGGCACCCAGAGGACCCCAGGTTAGAATTCACACCACTACTAAATGGTTTGACTAATTATATGAGGGGCCACCAGGGCATTACTGGCACCACAAACACTACTTTGTATGGTGGCAAAAGTAAAAAATTTTATTGATTGATTAGCGATGCTGAATTGTAACTTAGGTCAGTATCTATACAATTCTTGGGGCTAAAGTTGGTTACCTTCCAGATGCAACAAACATTTTATTTTTGCATCTACCTCAATATTTCAGAAACAGTCTGAAATATGGAAATATAATGGATACTAATATTTCTTAAAGGCTGAATTCATAATATTAATAAAGTTGTACAAATTTCTATAACTATATTTTTTTGGTTATCCCTGGACAGAAAGTTTCAACATTGCTGTTTTCCCTGTGTTTGGATGTAAGCTATGTTTTCCATGTTTTAAATAAATGTAATACTTTAACAAAAAACACTCGCCAATGGAGGACCTAAAAAAAAACATCATAGAGGTATTTTTTTCACATATGTCAATTGGTAACATTAATGGGCAACTTTTCAGATTAGGCCTGTAATTTAAAAGTGCACTTTCTCCCTGGGTGGATCTGGAGCAGTAGGGAGGTTGTGTGAGTCTGATCCTTGGTCTCACGGTAGGTCCTTACTCAATTTAGATCTCTCATTGTCTTAAGATTCAGAGAATTTTTGGTTCTTAAGTTTTTTCTTTGTCTTAAAGGGACATTGGTTGGGTGAATTACACTACCTCTCTCAGCGGTACCCTACCAGATACCTCGGGGAAACAATTACTGAGTTATGTTGATCTTTATATGTAAATGTATATTGCACCATGATAGGAGAGGCCATACAGTGGTTGTAAAGTTTGAAAGCAACAAACCTATGTATTCCTGTAATGACACATGATCTGTTATATTTTGACTTATATTTCTGTTATACAATACTGAAAACTGGGTGTAACAGATATCGAACATATCATGATGTAATATGTTACTTTACTGGTGCCTGATACAAAATAAATATATATTTTTTAAAGTTCTTTGCTTGTGATATAGTTTCATAATAAGAAAAACTGGACAAATATGTATTTTGGACAGCATGATTATAACACTGTATTATTGTATATCAAGGTGAGTTTGGCTTAACTTGTTAGGTAACAGGGTAAAAAGTCAAACCATTAGCTAACAGCTTTAGTACTAATGGCACTCCTAGAACAATAACCACAACCACTACAGTGTTAATAGGGGGTGGGGGGCAGGACAGTCTTAGAACCGTAACCACTACAGGGTGCTAAATATATGGGTGCGTTAAATGTGTAAAAGAATCATCTAGCCACCATAACTGTGAAGTCTTCCTTTAAGTGTTAAACAGCTCCCGAACGGTTAAACACTAACAATGTACTCTACTCCGTCTGACGCTTTTAGCCAATCGCAGCCACTTCCCCACTGCTTGTGCTAATGCTTCACATTATCCCTAGCAGTACAGGAGAGACAGAGAGACCAAATTTTGGGTACAGATCTTGAGTGATAAATTGCGTTAAATTGCTGGAGGACTCCAGGCACCACAATAATTGAATAACGTCATTGAGATAAAGTTGTTATGGTGTCTGGAGTGTTTTTTTTTGTTGTTGTTTTTTTAAATGAACTTGTAACATTTGTAACATTTACCTGGTTTATTATACACCTGTATCTCTTAAAGTGATTTTTTATTAAGAAGCAAGGTGATTTTCATCTCCAGTCTAAAATAGAAAACAGTGGATCATTAAAAGATTAACACATGCAATTGTTTTAAACACTGTGTTCAGGGTTTTGTTTGTTTTTTTATTCAATAAAATAAGTTAATATCCTCTTTTTTATTATTGTAGAAATGAATGTTCTAAATCGCAGTTCAATGTAAACTAACAGTGTTTTAATTTTCACTAAAGTGAGAATTTGAAGTGGATTCAAAGTGAATTTTCGAATTTAAGGTTAGGATAGCTCAAATGGAAACATTCTCCAAGTCAGCTATGCTTTTAGTTTGGCTATTATGTCCTTACATTTTGAAATTCTCTAATTTCACTTTGAATTCTCGCTTTATCGAATAATCCTGGAGATGTAAGTTTGAAAAGTAATATACTGACACCTAGAGGTAGCAAATCATAAATACATCTCACAATACATTCAGGCAAAAACAGCTGTCAAGTTAAGTTGCCTGTACTCCTAAACAAAGGACCAGCAGTAACAGACAGACAAGGCACATTTCCATTGTCTCTCCCTGCATTTGACACATTTGTGTATTGTGGGTCGGGTAGTGTGCAGGTGCTCTGCACATGCTGCAACGTCAGCCAGCCATTGTTTTGGAACCCTCTGGAATCGCCTCACATTGAAATTGTGTGAGCAAATAGTCTATAAATATTGGATGTCTGGGAGGTAAATTTATTTATAAAATATTTTACCAGGAAAGATACATTGAGATTTCTCTTGTTTTCAAGTATGTCCTGGGTCCACAAAACATTGCATTGATACAATAGAGTACAATAAAATACAAAAACAATATTAATACACAATAAATACAAAATTTAACATAGAACAGGTATATAATCACCCATGACACGTGCATTCTGTTCTAAGGTATGTAGAGAGGGATCTCTTAAAGGACTTTAGGCTTGGGGAAGATTTTTTTATTTTTTTTATTTCAATATTTCTTTATTTAAATTATTTAACAAATTCAATTTATATAAGTTACATTTAAATATTCAATCACTCAAACACAATTACATAAAGATTCACATTACATATAAACAGGGGCGGACTGACCACTCGGGCATATCGGTCATGGACCGAGGGCCCGAGGCAGTCAGGGGCCCGGCAGCACAGCCTTGCTCCAGCTGGAGAGATCAGAGATCTCTCCAACTGGAACGGCAAAATTAAAAAAAATAAAACTATTTCATTTATAGGTTGTGGGGCCCCTGATGCAGCTTGGGGCCCCACAACCTACCGCCCTGTAAATCACCCCCTATGACACCTGGCAGCTTCAGCAGCTCTCTGCCAGGTCTCCTTCTCCCAGTCCCGCGGTGCTCTGTGACATCACTTCCTGTTTACTCCTCTCACACAGAGCCCAGCGAGGGGAAGGAGCAGCAGCCAGGGAGAGCAGAGGAAGCACAGGTAGGC